CATAGCCTCCAGGAGCACTTTGCAAGCCTCCCAAACCCTCTGCATGCCTCTTTTTTGCAAAAAAAAAAGGGGGGGGGATGCAGAGGCTTTGGGAGGCTCATAGAGCTCTCCTGGGAGGTGGGGGGGGCAAAAATGCCCCCTTTTTGCTTATTTTGCCCTTCATAGCCTCCAGGAGCACTTTGCAAGCCTCCCAAACCCTCTGCATGCCTCTTTTTTGCAAAAAAAAAAGGGGGGGGGGATGCCGAGGCTTTGGGAGGCTCATAGAGCTCTCCTGGGAGGTGGGGGGGGCAAAAATGCCCCCTTTTTGCTTATTTTGCCCTTCATAGCCTCCAGGAGCACTTTGCAAGCCTCCCAAACCCTCTGCATGCCTCTTTTTTGCAAAAAAAAAAGGGGGGGGGATGCAGAGGCTTTGGGAGGCTCATAGAGCTCTCCTGGGAGGTGGGGGGGGCAAAAATGCCCCCTTTTTGCTTATTTTGCCCTTCATAGCCTCCATTTGCACTCTGCAAGCCTCCCAAACCCTCTGCATGCCTCTTTTTTGCAAAAAAAAAAGGGGGGGGGATGCAGAGGCTTTGGGAGGCTCATAGAGCTCTCCTGGGAGGTGGGGGGGGCAAAAATGCCCCCTTTTTGCTTATTTTGCCCTTCATAGCCTCCAGGAGCACTTTGCAAGCCTCCCAAACCCTCTGCACGTCCATTTTTTGCAAAGGGGTTTTGGTAGGCCAAAAATGCTGTATTCAGTATATAAGACACACCCAGATTTTCACCCTCTTTTTGGAGGGAAAAGGGTGTGTCTTATACTCTGAAAAATACAGTAGTATAAATGAGCTGAAAAAAGAAGTACTCCTCTGTGGCCAACTCATCACAGCCAATGTGCTGCAGGACAACTCCCCATGGGCAACTCACTGCAGGACATTGTGAGGCAATTCAACAATTCAATTTAATTACTTAAAATAATTTTTAAAAATATTTTAATTTTTGTCTTTCATTATGCCCAGGGGTGGGATGCTGGCGGTTTAAGAACCGGTTCGGTGAGTGTGTACTTTGCGCCCGTGCATAGTGCTGAACATGGAGCATTTAGAAGCTCAGCTGCTTACCTTCCAAGTCAACAACGGTAAAACAGCTAGAGGAGGGGATTTAGTTGTGTGGCGCGATTGAGATGAGCAAGAAAGCAGGAAATAAAGGACAGGATACAGCAGGGGCAGGCCCAGCTGATCATCGAAGCGAACCGGTTTGTTCCCTGCTGATTGTCAGAGCAATCAGTTTGCTTGAATCGGTCTGAACCGTTAGAATCCCACCCCTGATTATGCCCCTTCTTTGGCATCTTTAATTTAACAATTCTATTCTGCCAATCCTTCAATATTGATGCAACTCTTGTTCCATGGATCGCTGTCCCGCGGAGAGTTAGCTATGGCAAGTTAGCCGTGGTGAGTTGGTCGCAGCGAGTTGTCTTAGATGCCTTGAACAAGAAGTTAACCAGTGTACGATGTAATACACTTTGATGTCAGAAAAGATCATTGAAACCAGGGCTGTCAAACTCGTGGCCTGCGGGCTGGATGCGTCACATGCTGGCCATGCCCGGTTTAGCGCTGTGACGACACGAGTTTGACACCCCTGATTTTAAACCCTCAAATCACTGGGGAAAGGATTGGCCAGGATCCTTTTTTTCAAGATCCCATATCTACCTGCTGAGATGGATTAGGAATGGGCACGGGGGTTAGTTTATGCCTGAAGGCGGGAGCAGATTTGGGCCTTGGTCTTTTGATTTCAGGCTCTTCCACTCTTTGAAAGCCAACGTCCTCTTCGCAGGATTTTCTGGAGGGCAAATGTCCAGGGTCTCCCCCCTCTTCCCTGTAGTAATGTCCTGAGGGTCTCCCTCGCCCCTTGAGAAGGCAAGAGTCTGGCTTCAGTTCGATGGAAAGCGGGGGCTGGACTGCAGCTGGACTAGGAGGGGGTGAGCCCATTGTCACGGTAGACTCCGAGGCAGAACTGGCTTGCTGTTTGTGTTTAAATTTAATAGAATCACTTCTGGTCGGAGGTGTTGGAGGAGTGGAGATGGCTTCTGGTTTTGAAGTTTGGGCCGACAGTCCCAACATCGGATTGGGAGACAGATAATCCATTTTGGGAGGGGTCAGAGGTCTTTTGAAAGTGTCTGGGTCAAAGATGGATTTTCTTTGTTTGGGCTTTTTGTACACTGAGAATTTTTCTGTTTCTGCTGGAGCTACGTTGACCATAACTTTGGGCCATGTGCCACCACTGTGCTTCCCGCCTGGCCCTTTGTCTAAGGCACTCTCCAAAACAATGCAGTCTGCAACTGTGGGATCAAAGGAAAGCCTTTGGTTGTCCAAGTTCACTATCCCATAACTCGGGTCTCCATAGCCGTCTGGACCAAAGGATTCAAGGCTGTGTTCCGAATTACTGTGGCACTCGTGGGCCGTGTTCCGGTGGGAGTCACTATGTAAAACGCTACTGGAGAACGGTTTCAGACTGCAATACAAACCGTTCTCTTGATCGCTCTGATCCTTCTTGACATCCATGATGTCCGGGTTGAAAATATCGGTTTGGGTTGAACTGTTGTGCTTTAAGTTTCTTTTATTTTGAACTTGTACTTCGGATGCGTGAACCCGGCCGTTGGAGATCTTCTCCGAATCCTTAAGATTTTCAAATATGTTCTGCCCACTCCAAGAGGAACTTGAGCTCTGAGGATAAACCTAGTTGGAGAAGAAGCAACATGAGTATGAATGAGTACAACATCAGTAGTGGCCAAAATTCCCAAAATTTTTGGGAAAAGTGTATTTTCTAAAACTAGCTAATAACACCACTTATTATTTTTTNTACAGGCTGATATATGAAAGTTGATAATAAAAAATTAGTTAATTTTAGTAATTAGTGATTAGTAATTTAGTAATCTCAAGAGTGCTATGTAAAATACATAATTGATAAGGATAATAAGGTACATACAAAAAAAAAGAGAGAATGCTACGATTGAGGGGATTATACTTCAGTTCAAGATTCTTCTTCTCTAAATACCTGGGATGCAGGTGTTGGTGGCAATATTGATTGGTTGTCGATGAGCAATTGCTGGTGGCAATTCGATGACTCCAGGCTGTGTAAATAGGATTTCTCATCACGGCAGTCACAGCAGAGCATGGCGCAATGTTTCTTGGCATGGTACCTATACAACAAAGGGAAGTTAGAAGAATAACCTCTGCAGTATTGTAGCTCAGCCATACTAGATAATGGATCACGGCAGAAAAGCTGCCCCAAAGATACAGGTATCTCCTAACTTCCAGGTGCAACTTAAGGTGTTGGGGATCCCCTTGAGAGCACTTCATGGCATAGGGCCAGCTTATTTGAGGGACTGTCTCACCCCACTGATTTGCCCCACTCGTGCTGGCAGAGGAGGCATGCTGTCGGTCCCGTCAGCCCAATTATAACAGGGCCTTCTGTGCTGTGGCTCCTGCCCTCTGGAACATCTTCTCACACACACACCCCGCCCCCAATGTGAGGTTGGCCCCAACCCTCCTATCTTAAGGGCCTAAAGATGTGGGTCTGCCAGTCGGTTTAGAGCCCCAGTGGGGGAAATCAGCAAAATGGAGGGGGTTGATTGAGTAACAATAATTGTCCCTTCCTCCTCCTCACTCCCCATGTGTCTTTGATTTTAAGAACTGATTTTAACTTTGTATGTTTTAGCTTTTATGTAACAGTCAGCTGTCCAGCGTTACCCTACTGTAAGATGGCAGCCAATATTTTTTTAAATAAAATAATAATAAAATAAATACAAATACATAAAAATAAGAAAATAAAATAATAGAATAGAATAAAATAAAATAAAATAAAGACCCAAATTTCCATTGGTAAGCAAGGCAGCCGTTAACTGAACCCCCCCCGCCAATTTCACCACCTTTCTAGCCAAAGTTGTTAAGGAGAATTACTGCAATTGTTAATAGAATAGAATAAACAGAGTTGGAAGGGACCTTGGAGGTTTTCTAGTCTAACCTACTGCTTAGGCAGGAAACCCTACACCACTTCAGACAAATGGTTATCCACTCTCTTCTTAAAAACTTCAAGTGTTGGAGCATTCACAACTTCTGGAGGCAAGTTGTTCCACTGGCTAATTGTTCTGTCAGAAAAATTCTAAGTTCTAAGTTGCTTCTCTCCTTGATTAGTTTCCACCCATTGCTTCTTGTCCTGCCCTCAAGTATATTGGAGAATAGTTTGACTCCCTCTTCTTGCTACTGCTATCATATCTTCCCTAGTCCTTCTTTTCATTAAACTAGACGTACCCAGTTCCTGCAACAGTTCATTGTATGTTTTAGCCTCCAGTCCCCTAATCATCTTGGTTGCGCTTCTCTGCACTCTTTCTACAGTCTCAACATCTTTTTTACATCGTGGTGACCAAAACTGGATGCTCGGTTGTTAATCGAATATGGCTTCCCGATGGACTTTGCTTGTCGTAAGGCCGCCAAAGGGGATCCCCTGACCCCGGGACTCTGCAACCATCATAATCGCATCCAAATTTTGATCAGGTGACCGTGGGGATACTGCAACCATCGTAAGGGTGAAAAATGGTCATAAGTCACTTTTTAAAAGTGCCAAACGGTCCCTACACGAACAAGTTGTAAGCCAAGAAGTATCCATAGTTGGGCAGAGGTCCTACAACAAAATAAAGTCTCAAATGAACAGACTCGTCACGTGCCAATCGCGGGTACTAACCTCCGGACAAGCTTCCGGTGTATAAAGAGGCCGACACGAAACCGTCGCTATGCCGACTGGCCCGTTTGGGTGAATAGGTTGGCCATTCTTGTACCTCTGGAGGCAGGAGCTCTTCACTCGCTGGAATGTATTTCTGTACCTGGGGAGGGAAATCCAAAGCATCTTTCTATATTGATGGGCAATATTTTGAACAGAAGCCTGTACCCGTTATGAGACCTCAATTTATAAAGGGGTGTTGCATTTCAGAGTGGATTTGATTTAAATCAAGTCGATGTTAAATCCTGATTTAAATCAGTTTTAAAAAGGTTTGATTTAAGTCAACTCCATTTAAATCATAATTTTTAAAGAGCAACTGTCATCTCTGTCCCGCAGCGGCTCCTCCTCTGACCCACTGTTGACTCACCGACCATCCCATTCACTTTAATGGGACGGCTGGTGATGCAACAATGACACAATAAGGTGAGGGATGTGGTGGGCAGCAGGTGAATGGATGCCCGCTAACAGGCGCTGCCATGATGGATCTGAAATGACAGGTGCTCTTTAATATTATATTTATAAGCTGATTAGAAGGTTTCACTTTCATTTTTACTACTTGCCCTTTCTTCTCACATTTAAGAGCCTGGTGGTACAGATGCATTTCTCTTCAAACCATCATACAGTTTGTGGTGTACAAAGATTTGCAAAACAAATGGTTCCTGCACTTTGTTTTATGATTTATGTCATGGTTACTGTGAAATTGTGTGAAGGTATCAATGAAGTGCATGTTCTCTCAGCTTGCAGAGCTTGGATTCATTGAATCAGTTTACAAAAAAATGTAAATATTGCAAATATACAGCCTCATGCTACGTAACTAAGTTCCATTTCATGCTGAATAAACTAAATTATTAATCCATCTTAAATAGAAAACTCTCTTTAGATAGATTTTTTTACTCCAAAGTATTAAAATAAATTTGCTTGGGGCCTATGCGATTTAGATCCGGATTCCAAATAAATTGTATTCCCAGGAATCCCAGGAAATTTAAACAGAGCTGACTTATAACTAAGTTTTTGCTTTAATTTGGGTCTCAAGCATCAAGCTGCAGAGTTGAATGATTGATCATCTCACAAGAAACTTTAAATGTGACTGGAAATGCCATTTACGGGTGATCCTAGACTTACAAAAGTTCATTTAATGACTGTTCGAAGTTACGACGGCACTGGGGAAAAAGTGGCTTATGACTGTTTTTAACACTTATGACCGTTGCAGCATTCCCATGGTCAGGGGTTCAAAATTCAGAAGCTTGGCAACTGACTCATATTTATGTCGGTTGCAGTGTCCCGAGGTCATGTGTTTTTGCGACTTTCTGGCAAACAATGTCAATAGGGAAACCAGATTGACTTAAAAGCCGTGCTACCAATTTATCAAAGGCAGTGTTTCGCTTAACAAACGTTGGTTGTTAAGTATTGTTTGTTAAGAAAGGTTGTTAAAATGGGGCAAAATTCATTGAACAACAGTCGCACTTAGAAACAGACATTTTGGGATCAATGGCGATTGTAAGTCGAGGACTCCCTGTTCAGAGTAACACCTGCAAACAACTGACAATAATGTCAAGCACAACTGGTTCCCCCCCCCCCTGAGATTAAGATTCCTTTAATCATTTAATTTTTATTATGGTCACGACCAGCAAATGGTACCAATTCTATGATCCTACTCAAAAAGCAGAAAGGCTTACCATATTTTTCAGACTATAAGACGCACCGGAGTATAAGACGCACCATGATTTTGAAGAGGTAATTTTTTTTTTTAAAAAAAAGGTTTTTCCCCTCTGCAAGCCCCCCAACCCCTCTGCATGCCTCTTTTTTCAAAAAAAAAAAGGGGGGGGG